ACTTCAAACTGAAGTGAGAACCAGATTCCTTTCGATACAAGCAGCATATTAAGACATAAGCTCAACCCACACTTCAAGTGGAACTCATACATATGATTCCTCACTAAAGATGCTGGAAAAATGTACTGTTTCAGTAAGTACTTGACTCCTCCAGTTATCCTTCACCTTTACAAGAGCCAGATCAGGTCAAAAATGGAGTATTGCTGCCATATATAAGCAGGAGATGCCCAGTCTTCTCTTTCCAGTCTCAAGACAGTTCAAGAGAATCTTCGCATCCTTGTGGGCCAGGCTAGTGCATACTGTCACTGAATCCCCCAACTGGTTTCAGTGGTGAGAAGCATGATTGGTGGCCCCCAAACAGTGCTTTGGGTCCTTTGCTATCTTATCAGCATTTGATTTTTTTCTACCTACATTTATATATATAAAACATTAAACTAAATACTAACTGACTATTAAAGGATGAAAAATTTTCATGTATTATGATGTCATTCTAGGATCTTTTTTTATCCAAATCTGTGAATTTGTCTTTCCCATGATAAGTTTAAAAAAGTCTATATAAAATTCAGTATTTTTTATCCATAATGTTGAATACATTAAAATAATTAAATATTTCGTATCCATAATATTGAATGAGGTAAAATTATTCAACTTTTTAACAAGAAAAATCTCAAGTTGATGTTAAAATTTACTGCAAAACATTGTTGATTAATTAAAGATGAGATGATTTGTTATGACGTCTCTAATTTGTATTTAGATACATTGTATTTATTTTCAATTTTTCTAGTTGAATTATTCACCTATATTGCATATGAGCATTATTTTACATAATTAGGTTACAATAAAATTTGTATTTTATATGAATAGTAGCTTATGAAAATTGAGATGGAGTAGAATTGGTGGTGCCATATTATAGATTCAGAGACTCTTGCACAGGCCCTGCTTTTGAGTGATGAAGTATTTCCTACTCTACAACCCCTTTCTCACAGATGAAATGTCACAAACTTCTGCCTTATTGCTGTTTCCAGGAAAATTGTGCAGATGAACTATATTCCTTAGTTTCACCAGTTCTAACCTTCATGGCTAAGACCTACCAGCTTTTCCCCAAAACTGCTGCTTTGTGAAACCGATTCCCAAGAGGATGTTTCCCTGATCACTGCAATCCTAACCTTTCAACTCTAGGGTAACCATTATTTTCCCCACATATCCTTATAAACTGTACTTCTTACTCTGTAACCCTTTACCTAGAATGGCTCTTGGGCCTTATACAGGGTAAATGTCACTAAAAAATTTTTTGTTTTTATCAAGTTCACCCCAAGAAGGCAATAAAGCCTCTACAGCACAAGAAGTTACTGGGTGTGGAAGAATTAGAAACAGATACATTAACACATTACTTAGGGATAAGAACAAAAGAAGAGTAATCAGTAGATAGTGATTGACATTGCATTTAATTTTTGAAGATTAAAATTGGTTAGAAAGCATAAAACCAGAAGAGTTTTCCGAAAGTGAGAAGTGCAAGAAAAGAAACAGCACAGAATTCACGGTTACATATGGCCAACTCAACAGTGTATTGATGAGATCTCAATGGCAGATTAGTACTGTGCTTAAATTAAAAAAGTTTAGGTTCCATAGTGAAGAGCTCATCTGAACAACTACCATGAAAGTATTCATAGAAAAGTAACAAGAGCAACTTACACTATTTTGTCTTAAGAAGTCTACTTTCCTAAAAAACTGTTTTTTTAAGAAAATGGTTTAATAAATTTCAATCAAAAGTAACACTAATTTTTCAGTTAATGACCGCTGAATTTTTCCTGTATGGAAACAACTATTCTCACCATTATCATCACCAATTACTTTAGATTGTCAGTCTGAGCTGTTGCAATAAATGGCCACTGAAATTAAGATGAAAGAAATAATAGATGAAAATTGATGATAATCACCAAGGAATGTTTTTATCAAAGATTAATAAAGTTTGAGATAAATTTCTTTGTTTTGGCAAATGATTTGAGGATATCGGGAAACTCTGAAACTAGCACCAAACAGTGGTAGACCTATATTTTTTGGTCCCTGAAACTTGGCCAGAAATGGGTCCCCTTTGCAACCAGCAACAACAGATTTCAGTAATGTAGGCTATGAATAGATTCTGGTGAACATGACAAGCCCATATAGCTGGGATTCAGGCGCTACAAACCCCCAAGAAAATGTTGAAAGTTGACCAATAACAGGGGAATTTTGAGACCATATGAAATAGGTATTAGAGTATATTCTAAGTATATTCTAAATATATTCTAAGTATATTCTAAGTATATTTTAAATATAATCTAAGTACATTCTAAGTAAATTCTAAATATATTCTAAGTATATTCTAAAAATATTCTAAGTATATTCTAAAAATATTCTAAGTATACTCTAAAGTAAATTCTAAATATATTCTAAGTATATTCTAAATATATTCTAAGTATATTCTAAGTAAATTCTAAATATATTCTAAGTATATTCTAAATATATTCTAAAGTATATTCTAAATATATTCAAAGTAAATTCTAAATATATATTATAAGTATATTCTAAATATATTCAAAGTAAATTCTAAATATATTCTAAGTATATTCTAAATATATTCTAAGTATATTCTAAATATATTCTAAGTATATTCTAATTATTCTAAATATATTCAAAAGTAAATTCTAAATATATTCTAAGTATATTCTAAGTATATTTTTATATATATTCAAAAGTATATTCTAAATATATTCTAATTATATATTCTAAATATATTTTTCTAAATATATTCTAAGTATATTCTAAGTATTTTCTATATATATTCTAAATATTCTAAATATATTCTAAATATATTCTAAGTAAATTCTAAATATATTCAAAGTAAATTCTAAATATATTCTAAGTATATTCTAAGTATATTCTAAATATATTCAAAGGTTAACATTAACTACTTCTATCCATTGGTTTATGATTCTATAACTAAAATGGCCTTAATTTAACCATAAACACTTTTTAATAAAAACATTGATTTTCTTGAAAAGTTCACTCATTAAAAAAAGATGCTTCAGGGGCCCAACTGAGATCAGGAGTCCTTAAGCTTAATCTTCATTAGTTTCATAGTAGATCTGCCACTGGTATTAAAGCATATCACTATTATTAAAATATTTGAAATATATTCTTATATATGATACTGACTTTTGTATTTGATTCAAAAGTTGGAAAGATGACCATATCAACATTAAATGCAAAGAAATATCAAGAATACTAATTGATGTATAAATTAATGAGATTTGTTAAATATTAACTTTTATTTTGTTAAATATTTTTTATTATCTATTTTGATATAGATGTATAATTTGACAAAATAAAGATATTATTTTATCCTAAAACTAATAACCTTTAAATATTCTTGACTTTTCCTCTTCCATCAAGGACATTTCCACACTTTAGTGCAAAAAAAACAAAACAAAACATTTTTCTAAATGATAAGCATGTATTTTCAAAAATCATTTAAGACAAGACTCCTGTTGATTAGGGATTAGTTGAAATACAAGTAAAGCTGACTTTACATTTTAAATGTAATTGGAGTTTGGTTAATTAGAAAGTATTTTCTCTTATTTATTTATTTACAAATAATTATAATATAAAATTTATATATCGAATAATAATATTGAAATTTACTTTTGTTTTTGCTGTTTAGTCAATTAAATGAAAAAATTTGATTATTAATTAATACAGACTTACATTTATTCTATTGTTTCCTTTCAATTTAATCTGAAAATATAATAATAATAACTGTATAATGCATTTTTCATCTTGTGCTTAATTTATTTGTTGTGAAAATTAAAATTACAAAAAAATTAATAAAAAATTTGAAGAATATAGAAGAAAAAATTGTGAAGGAGAAGAAAATTAAATAATCAGGTGAAAAGTGGGGAATGCGGGGAACCCCCCGCCAAAAAAAAAAAGAACAAAAATAAAAATGGAATAAAAATGTGGATGGGAAATTGTAAAGGAAATCTGGGTGATGTAAATGGATGTTGGAGGAAACAGAAATATGGAGAAAAGAAAATGGAGGAACTGACTAAATGGAGAAGAAATGGGAAAACAATTATAAATAATTTAACTTGAAATGTTAAAAAGCAAAAACCTGGTTGCTAAATAAATGAGAGAAAAAAATTTGAAGGAGAAGAAAAAGGAGGTAAAATAGAAATAAAAGGAGGAAGAGGAGAAGAAGGAAAAGATGATATCAAGGAGGAAGAGGAGGAGGAGAGGGAGAAAAAGAAAAAGAAGGAAGATGTATCAAGAAGGAAGGAGAGGAGGAAGAGGACATCAAGTAATAGGGAAAGAGAGGAAGAACAAGGAGAAAAAGAAGGAAAATGGTATCAAGAAGGGGGAAGAGGAGGAGGAGAGGGAGAAAAAGAAAAAGAAGGAAGATGGTATCAAGAAGGGGGAAGAGAGGAGGAGAGGAGAAAAAGAAAAGAAGGAAAAAATGGTATCAAGAAGGGGGAAGAAGAGGAAGGGAAAAAAGAAGGAAGGAAGATGTATCAAGAAGGAAGGATCAAGAAGGGAAGAGGGCATCAAGTAATAGGAAAGAGAGGAAGAAAAGGAGAAAAGAAGGAAAATGGTATCAAGAAGGAGGAAGAGGAGGAAGAGAGGGAGAAAAAGAAAAAGAAGGAAGATGGTATCAAGAAGGGGGAAGAGTAGGAGGAGAGGGAGAAAAAGAAAAAGAAGGAAAATGGTATCAAGAAGGGGGAAGAAGAGGAGGAGAGGGAAAAAAAAAAAGAAGGAAGATGTATCAAGAAGGAAGGAGAGGAGGAAGAGGGCATCAAGAAGAAAAGCAAAAGAAGTGGAAGAAAACCATCAAGCAAACAGAAAAAAGAAAAAAGTTGGTATCAAGAAGGAGGAGGAGGAGGAGGAGGAGGAGGAGATCCAGCAGAAGAACATCAAGAAAAAAAAAGGAAGAGGACATTAACGAGAAAAAGAGGGAGGATACAACATTAAGGAGAAGGGGGTTGGCACCACAAATAAGAAGAAGAAGAAGAAGAAGAAGAAGAAGAAGAAGAAGAAGAAGAAGAAGAAGAAGAAGAAGAAGAAGAAGACTGACAAAAACAAGGAGAAAAACTAAGAGATAAATAAAGTGTAAGTGCTGGAGAAAATAACAATTTACTAAGCTTAGACCAGATGTGGCACAAGTCCGTAGCACCCGGTGAGGATTGAACCCACTTATTCAGTTGTAATTGATTTAGTGGGACATGGTTGCTAATCATTACACCATAGGATATGAAAGTAACAGGATAGAAAGAAAATAAAATTAAAAGAATAAAGAATTGGTGATGAAATGAAAAAGTTGAAGACATTCTTGACAGGAAAAAGATTCATCGAGAAATATATCAAAGAGTTTTGGAAGATTTGAAAGAAGAAAAAGGAAAAGGAATGAGATTAAGAAAAAAAAATAAATTGGTAATGTTAAGATAAAATGAGAAACAAGAAAATCAAAAATAGAGAAAGAACTAAGGTCAGTTCAATTCAAAGTAGAGGAAACTTAAAGTGAATGAATGAATGAAAATGAATGAATGAATGGAAAGAAGAAGTAGAAGAAACTTTTATAAAGACATTAGAAATATGAAAAATACAAAGAAACGAGGGAGATACAAAAGCAGAAAAATAACAGCAAAATGAACAAAATTGCTGAAAATAAATGAGTAAATAATTCTTTCATTTTCGGGATTTTAAGAGAAATTAAAAAATAAATTCAGTCGTATAATGACCTCGGCTGATTACATGTAAGTGTTGACGGAGGGCAAAGGGCAATGTAATAGAAAGAGGATGGGGCTTGTATTTATTAAAAACAGAGAGAGAGAGAGGAATGATTGAAAAATTCTTTGCCATTGATTGTAAAGAAGGCATTTCAGTGAACTGAACACAACGGATGTTGGACACATCTGTCGGTTGTAGTTAAATCAGAGACAACATAGAATGAATAGATAGATAGATAGATAGATAGATAGATAGATAGATAGATAGATAGATAGATAGATAGATAGATAATGAAAAAGACTGTGATAGATAGATAGATAGATAGATAGATAGATAGATAGATAGATAGATAGATAGATAGATAATGAATACTTGAAAAGATGGATAGATAGATAGATAGATGAATGAAAAAAAGACTGAGATAGATAGATAGACAGATAGATAGATAGATAGATAATGAAAAAGACTGGGATAGATGGATGGACAAATAGATAGATAATGAAAAGACTGAGATAGATGGATAGATAGATAGATGGATAATAATGAAAAGACTGAGATAGATAGATAGATAGATAATGAAAAGACTGAGATAGATGGATAGATGGATGGATTGATGGATAGATGGATGGATAGATGGATAAATAAAGAAAAGACTGTGATAGATAGATAGATGGATGGATAGATAGATAGATGGGATAGATGGATGAAAAGACTGAGATAGATGGATAGATAGATAATGATTGAAGACTGAGATAGATAGATAGATAGATGGATAGATAGATGGAGATAATGAAGACTGAGGATGGATAGATAGATAGATAAAGAAAAAGACTGATAGATAGATAGATAGATAGATAGATATTGAAAAGACTGTGATAGATAGATGGATAGATGGATAGATAGATGGATAGATAATGAAAAGATTGATGGATAGAATGAAAAGACTGATAGATAGATAGATAGATAGATAATGAAAAGACTGATGATAGATAGATAGATAGATAGATGGATGGATAATGAAAAGACTGTGATAGATAGATAGATAGATGGATAGATAGATAATGAAAAGAAGACTGTGATAGATAGATAGATGGATGGATGGATAGATGGATAGATAGATAGATGGATGGATAGATAATGAAAAGACTGTGATAGATAGATAGATAGATAGATAGATAGATAGATAGATAGATAGATAGATAAAGAAAAGACTGAGATAGATAGATAGATAAAGAAAAGACTGTGATAGATAGATAGATAGATAGATAGATAGATAGATAATGAAAAGACTGTGACAGGATAGATAGATAGATAGATAAAACAAGAGGATAAAAGATAGATAGATAGATAGATAGATAAAACAAGAGGATAAAAAAAGGAAAAATGTCAAAAAAGGAAAAGCAATAAAGAAAAAGGGAGAGATAAAAGTTAAATAGAAAAGAAAAAGTGAGAAAAACCTAATAAAGGCAAAAAGAAGAAAAACAAAGAGAGAGAAAGCGGGTGGACAACAAAAGCAAAGAAAGAATAAAATACGCAGAAAGAACACAGAATAAAGAAGAAGAAAAAGCACTACACAAATGACCAAAGTTAAAGAGAAGAAGAAGAAGAAGAAGAAGAAGAAGAAGGAGAAGAAGAAGAAGAAGGAGAAGAAGAAGAAGAAGAAAGAAGAAGAAGAAGAAGAAGAAGTTAGCAAAAAGTCGATAGTCAGTTCGAGCTGAGTTAGGGGTCGGTGTGAGTGTCAATGTGGACTTTTCGTTTGTTCATTTGAGTTAGTTTCCATGATTAAAACGCTTTAAAGGACCACCCACTTGTGCAATGTGAACAAACTAGAACAGCTGGCTAGACTGACGGGCAAATACAATAAGGAGTGGGCGAGGGAAAAGATAAAAACGAAAAACAAAACAGTCGAAAAAAAAAAAAAAAAAAGCTCCAAGAAAAAAAAAAAACGAAAGAAATGCTGGATGCTAGAACCTGGTAGGAATAGTTGTTATCTTCAAAAGAAAGAAAAGAAGGAAATGTATGTTGGTGAAAAAGAAAACGAAGAAAAATTAGTCAGATGGTTCGGGTGTGAGGGTAAAAAAAAAAAAAAAAAAAAAAAAAAAAAAAAGAAACAGTATGTGGCGAAAAACTGAACTGTTCTTGTCTTCCTCTTCCTTGCCATCCTCAGGCCCCAGGCGTAAGAATCGGTATCAAGAACAGATACCACTTCGTAGTATTGATCCGCTTACTAGATCCTTAGTCTCATGAGAAGAGTTTCCTTGATCCTTGCTTTTCTTTACTTTTTTTTTGCTGTAATTTTATTTATTTTCCTTTCTTTCTCCACCGCCCCACTTATATTCTGCCTAAAATGTCTGACCCGTTTTTTTTTCTGTTTCTCAGTAATTTTTAAATCTTTTCTCTTTTTTATTCTCGTTTTTATTTCTCTTGTTTAGTTTTCCTTTCTTTGCGTTTCTTTCTCTACAATTAATAAAAAAAAAAAGGTTTTCCCTTTAGTTAACCTTTCTTTGTTTTACTTTTATATTCTATTCGTCTATATTTTCAGTTTAAATTCATTCGGTTATTATCATTTTTTAATTTTCATTAAAAAATGTCATCTTTAATATTATATATCTGTTACATCTTTTTTTTTTCTTCCACTTTCTTTCTGTTTTTCATTCAACATTTTTCTTTTTCTTTTATATTCTTCTTAGTCTTACTCTTAGTCTTAAATATTTTTCCACTTAATTATCTTCAAACTATTTTTCTTGGAAGTTTTCGTTCTATATTATTTGGTTCATGCTTTCAGCTTCTATTTTGTTTTTAATTTTTGTCTAAAAATAATTATTTGCATTTATCTTTCTTTCTTTCTTTTTCGTTCTTCTTATTTCTCTTTTTCGTTTTCCTCTCTTCCTCTTCTTTCTTTTTCTCTGACTTTCTTTTATTTGTGTTTCTTTTCTCATTCCCTCCATCCCTTTCTCTTTTCCTTTTTTCCTCATTATTTCTTTATTTTCTTGCCTCTCTTTCTTTCTCTTTTTACTTTTTCTTTCTTTTTATTTTCTATTCATTTTTCTTTTTTCCTTTTTTTCTCTTTTACTCTCTTTACTTCACTTTTTCCCTTGATTTTTGCTCTTTTCTTTTTCCTTGATTTTTTAATTTCTTTTTCAAATTATTGCTCTTTTCAGCCAGTAAAGTGAACCTATATGTTTCCCCTTCTTGTCTTTTCTTTCTCACCCTACGTTCTTATTATATTACTTCTTGCACTTAATTAAGTTCCTCTTTTATTTGCTTCACTCCCACCCTGTCCCCAAATTGATATCTGTCCTACAAGAGTTTGCTGTTTCCAAGAAAGTACATTCTAAAGAGCCCTCTTGACCATTATGAATTAAAAGTCGTTAGTAACAGCAGCAGCAACAGCAGTGGACTAAAGACAATGGAAACGGACAGGAAAATAATAAAGAAAAACACAGAGGATCATGGGAAGGAAATAAGGGAGATAATAAACGATTATGAAAAATAATTTAAGGAGGCAAAGCGAATAGGAAAGTAAAAGAAAATAAGAAAGATTACAAATTGACTGAAAAGTGATGAATGAAAGATTATAAAAAAACCCTGAAGGAGAAAAATGAAAGAGAATAAAAGAGAAATGATAAAAACTAGAAGAAGAAAAGAAGTAAGGAAAAATATTTAATTGAAAATTAAAATGAATGTAAATAAAGAAAAAAGGAAAAGTACCTGTAAAAGAATGAAGCAAAAAAGAAAGAAAACTTAATAAAGGATGAGTTAAGTGCGAAAGAATGTCGGTAACTGAAGAAATTAGGGAAAAAGAAAAAGTAAAGAAGAATAGTAATTAAAACTAGAAAATAAAGATAAAAAGGTAAAAGAAAAAGAAAAAAATTAAAATAGCAACAAAGAAGTAGACAAAGAAAAATATTAAAGAGAGAAGCAAAAAAGGAAAAAGAAAGAAACAAGCAAAAAAAGGAAAAAGAAAGAGAAGCAAAAAAGGAAAAAGAAAGAAAGAGAGAAGCAAAAAAGGAAAAGAAAGAGAGAAGCAAAAAAGGAAAAAGAAAGAAAAGGAAAAAGAAAGAGAGAAGCAAAAAAGGAAAAAGAAAGAAAGAAGCAAAAAAGGAAAAAGAGAGAAGCAAAAAAGGAAAAAGAGAGAAGCAAAAAAGGAAAAAGAAAGAGAGAAGCAAAAAAGCAAAAAGAAAGAGTGAAGCAAAAAATATCAAAAATGAAGAAAATGTAAAGGTAAGAGTAAAGGAAA